ATACAAACATTGCCAGAAGAAACTAGTCCCACTGCAACAATCTGAAAACAATAAGCTAAAATATCTTAATTTTATTTTAAGAGAATGGAAAGCTGATGACTCAAACAAGTCTACGAGAACACCATTCCTTCTAGGGTAGACAGGAAAAATTGAAGGCTGCTTTCATCAGAGGTGCACGAGCAAGTGGAAGGGTTAGCCTGCTATAAGCCAAGGAACTTAGCTGGAATAAAGAGAAAACAGTCAAATTTTATCATCCGAGTCTGGGTTGGTATGGCCAATTGAACATGGAGAAACAGAGCTGGCCATCGATGGCTGCTGTGTGCTGGTGGTCAAGAAGCTGGGACGTAGAATGAAAAGCCTCACAGGTGTGGATCCTACATGGATACAGGAATAGACCTTAGCTTCCAGATGAAATAAAAGGTGAAAATGAAACTCAATACAGTAAAAGCTCAGCCTTAATTCAGTTCAACTCCAGATTAGGAAGAAGATTGCCTGAGAATAAAGATTATCCACTTCATGCTCTACACTTTTATAAAAACAATAAGGAAGCAGAAGATAAGTGATGAAGTGAGAAAAAAAAAAAAAATGTGACCCATAATCAAATAGGAGTGGGGAGTGGGAAGCCTTAATAAAAGGCCAATTAAATTGCTAGAATTAGTAGACAAGGACTTTAAAATAACTGTTATGGGGCTGTAGGATAACACTGAACTGCAAGGTAGATTTCAATCACCAGATCAGCGGTTCAAATCCACCAGCCGCTCCTCGGAAACCCTACACGGGGTCACTATGAGTTGGAACCAACTTGATGGCACTTAACAACAACAACAATAACGTAATGAATAAGTTAAAGAATCCAAAGGACAAATAGAAAAAGTCAGTGAAAAGATAAACAATTTTAACAGGGAAATGGAAATTCTAAAAAGGAAACAAAGAGAAATTCTAGTAATGAAAAATATAAAATCCATTCAATAAGTTTACTGAGTGGATTTAATAATGAACTGGACACAGCAGGGAAAAAGATTAGTAAAATAAAATATCAAATAATAAAAAGTATCCAAATTAAAGTATAATGAGAAAAATACCAATAATAAAATGAGAGCTGAGCACCAGTCCTATGGAATAGAGCCAACATGATCTAACATATGTGCAATTGGATTCTTAAAAGAAGAGATACTAAGCAAAGGCAATATATGAAAAGATATTAGGTGAAAACTTTTCCAAAACAGTTGAAAGACATCAACTCAGCAAGTGAAACTTCAAGTAGGACAATACAAAGAAAATGATACCTAGTCATATTATTGTCAACTGACAGAGAAAATCACAAAAGCAGTCAGATACATTATATCCAGTTTGGCTATTTAGAATAATGTTTGACATTTTTTTCATATTTATAATATTATAAAATGCTTAGGGATAAATTTAATTAAAAAGCATAAAAGTTATACTATGAAAATGACAAAATACTGTTAAAAGAAATGAAAGAATATCTAAGTAAGCAGAAAACTATCCCCTGTTCATAGATCTGAAGTCTTAATGTTAAGATGGCAAAACTACGCAAACTTATCTATAGATTCAATGAAATCAGAATCCCAACTGGTTTATTTGTAGAAATTTACAAGTTAATATCAAAATTCATATGGAATTGCAAAAGATTCAGAATATCCAAAACAATTTTAAAAACAAAAACAAAGTGGGGCAACCCATGCTTCCAGATTACAACCTGTATTACCAAGTCATAGTAATGAAGAAAGCTGCATTATAATTGACCATTTTGAGGTAGTCAAGCAAGATGAAAAAGAGGTTAAGGTAGGAGAGGAGGAGAGAGACACTGCTTATGATGGTGAAGATTCTTAGGTACATGATAGGGTTTAAAACTCGTGTCTTATTCTTTCATTACCTGGATGCTTGTCTAAAATCAACATTTCCACAAGACCCTCTCCCCTCTAGTGTTTTCAGCACCTGATCACTCTTCTTCCCATTCTTGGCCTTCCATATTCGCTAAGTCGTATTTTCCTGGTAGCATAGTAGTTACGAATCAGGCTGATAATCTCACGGTCAGCAGTTCGAAACTACCAGCTGGTCCGTGGGAGAAAGATGAGGCTTTCTGCTCCCATAAAGATTTACAGCCTTGGGAACCCTGTACAGGGTAGCTATGAGTCGGAACTGACTCCATGGCACAAAACAACAACGACAACAATGCAACTTTTTGGAGTCCTGGTGTGGTGCTGTGGGTTAATGTGCCAGACTGCAAAGCCATTTGAACTGCAAGGTTGGCGGTTCAAGTTCACCAGCCGCTCCTCGGAAACCCTATACAGGGTCTCTATGGGTCGGAACTGACTTGTTGGCACTTCACAACAACAACAAAGACCTCTTATCACTTCCTTTGACACTCCAAGTAGCTAATCTTAAATCTTGCAATTTTTGCTTTCAATACAGAGGATGTTATAAACGAATCTCTATCATTAAATTTTATCACTTAGTGAAAATGGGCAATTCCTTGAAAAACATAACATCCCAAAACTGATACAGGAAGTAGAAGCTATGTAGTCTTATACTTGTTAAATTGGAGTGCAGTGGCTCTGCAGGATAAGCACTGTACTGCAAACCACAAGGAAGTGGCTCAATTCTACCAACTTCTGGACAGGAAAAAGATGAGGCATTCCACTCACATAAAAATTTACTATTAGTCAGAACTGACTCAGTGGCACTTAACAACAACAACAAGATGCTTGTTAAAAATCCATTTTAAAAACCATTCAACCCACTGAATAGCTATCATCTTATCTAGATGGGTCTGGTGAAAGGAGATAGGGATAAGACTTGTAGGATTCAATAGTGAATAACTGTTATTATGACTAATCGCAACTGTCACACTTGTAAAGGTAGAAGTTTTGTAACAAAAAAAGGGGAGTAGTTAATCTTACAGTCCAGAAACAGAGGACCCTAGGACCATCAAGAGAGAAGCGCACAAGCAGAGCGCGGGACCTTATCCAGAGAAGCAGCAGTGCCAGAGATGGAGGCAGAGATGGGGCATGGCGAGGGGAACGGCTGAGGACTCTAAATTCATCAACTAAGAAGAGAAGGACTAAGAACTGGTGGCCAGGAGTAGACTTGCAGAATATGCCCTTTGGAGATGTAAATTATTATATATGCTTGAGTGGGTTTATTTTGTTTGTGTGTTTTTTAAAAAGCTAAAGTGGATATACAGAAATACTTTTAACTGATGGTAAATGGAGGGGATTATAATCAATGTAATGAAACAAGTTATATGAATGGTTGAATGTGAAACTGATGATGTGCCCTGAAAACTTTCACTCAATCCACAATAAAAACCTTAAATTAAAAAAAGAACAACAACAACAACAACAACAAAATATTCAATCAATAAAACCCTCCTCACACAGAAATCTCCAAGTGAATATAACAACATTGGTAAATTCTACAAAACATTTAAGGATAAATAAAATATAAAAATATCAAGTCGAATTAAAGAAGTCAGACAGAAAACAGTCCACACTGATTACAGTTGTAGGGAGGTCAAAATTTGGCAAAGTTTAGCAGTTCCATAGGATAAGTACTGAACTGTGAATCACAGGGTCAGCGGTTTGAGCCCATCAGTTGCTTCTCAGGAGAAAGATGAGGCTTTCTGTTCCCACAAAGTTTTAAAAAGCTGTGGAAACCCTGTACAGAGTTGTTATGAGTCAGAACTGACTTGATGGCACTTAACAACAACAACAACAACAATCTATGGCAGAGGTCCTCATGTGGTGCAGCAGGATAAGCACTGGACTGTTAACATCAGGGTTGGCAGTTCAAACCCACAAGACATTCCTCAGAAATCCTATGCCTGATTGCTATAAGCTCGAATCAATTGACGGTACTTAACAACAATTTATAGCTATTAAAGTCACTATCATGTTAGCTTTGGGAAGTTGATGGGAACATAGGCATTGATGGAAAATGATCCTGGGAAACTTCTTGGGGGTGATAAAATATTCTATATATCTTGATCTGTGTGGCATATACAATGTAAATGTTCACCAAGCTGTATGTGTATGTTCCTGTATGTCAGTTATACTGTAATAAGGCACTGTTCATAAGTAAATAAGTTAAAAATTTCTCTGACTCATCTGCAATCTTGAGGGGAAACCTGGAGTGGCGAAGTGGTTAAGTGCTATTTGAGCCATTAGCAGTTTGAACCTACTCATTGCTCTGCAGCAGAAAGATGTGGCTGTCTGTTACCCTAAAGACTGAGACAGCCTTGGAAACCCTGCGGGGCACCACTGCTCTTTCCTATAGGGTCAACAGGAGTCAGAATGGATTTGACTGGAACCAGTTAGGTTTGGGTAATCCCTTCAGAAGGAGTCTTGAGAGCACAACAGTTAAGTGTTTGGCTGCTGCTGAAAAGTTGGCATTTCAAACCCAGCCAGTAGCTCCACAGGAAAAACAAAACAACACCTGATCTTCTAAAGATCACACACTAGAAAACCCTATGGGACAGTTCTACTATGCTACATGGGGTCAGTGGAAGTAAAAATCAATTTGACAAGCACCCACCAATAACAATAGCAACAACAACAATAACAAGGTTTCAAAAGATCAATAAAGTTACCAAGTATATTAAAACAAATATTGCTATCTGGAATGGTGAGGTTCTTAGTAAATGTTAATGACCACAGTGTAACAATGACTATGAAGGAATTTTAAGCCACTATGCCATCCAAATTGCATTTAATTTCTTTTGAAGTCCTTGATCTCTTTGAGGATTTGATGAAAATAGTCCGTGAATGGGACTATTACTCCACAACTGTACCCCCACCTGAAATCTGGAGGGTTTGAACCCTTTGTATCTTACAGATACCTACTAAAAATCTTCTTTTAACATCCATCTTATTATTTTTTAAAATTCACTAGTTCTTTTCATTTTTCAAGTACAGGATCTTTTCAGTCACTGAAAATCATTTGTATTATTATCCACTTAATTCTTAGAAGCAATGTACCTGAAACTTCACATTCTGGTTGATGTTGGACACACGGAACTGCTTCAGGAACCGTTCATCCTCGCTCCAGAACAGGCGGATGTCGGGAATGTCATACAGGATCATGGCCAGCCTTTCTAACCCTAGACCAAAGGCCCAGCCAATCTTCTCTGGAGCACCAGCTATAATTAGAAAACAAAATAAAATAATTGTTTCAAAATGTAAAAAGACTAGACAAAGCCCCAAACCAAACCCCCTGCCATCGAATTTATCCTGAATCACAGGAACTCTACAGCACAGAGCAGAACTGCTCCGTTGGGTTTCCTAGATGGTAGATTTTTATGACGGCATCAGCCTCATCTTTTTCCTGCAGAGTGGCTGATGGGTTTGAACAGCCAACCTGTGCTTAGCAGGCCAACACTTAGCCCAGGGCTTCTGAAGACTAGACAGGTAGCTACTGTTTCCTGATAATGATCAATCGTATTGACTGAGTGCTTACTAATGGCAAGGCTTTGAAGGGGCTGGGAAAACATCCAAGAATGGGCTCAGCCTTCCATTTTTCTTCTTCTCCACATCTCAAACTTTTCTCATGAAGTACACCATCTCTAATAGTATCTTGCATTCCTTATTAAATTCCAGTCTCTTTTAAGCCCTACTCACTGCATCGGAGCTATTATTTTCACAGAAGCAGGGGAAAAGACAGTCTCTGTCCCTAATCTGCAGGTATGTCTACAACACATCACAGTACGTAGTTCACATTCAGAAAGTGTATGTCAGTCAGGCCTTTAAGAGCGCTCATTCTAGCAAGAGCTATTTTAGCTGCTTCAGAACCATGGAGAGCAGCTGAGCCAAGGTGAAATGCAGATCTAGCATCACTCACCCCAAACACAAAGTGTGCTGGGAGTGACGCGGCGCTTCCCTGACCAGGCAACCCAGGTAGGGAAGTCTCTGGGGAAAAGGGGCAGAATCGCACATATGCAACCTCTATCTAGCAGAAAGACAGCCTTTGAACAAACATAAGATCTTATATTTTAACAGTCTGAACTTGTTTTCTTAAAGATCAAATTGCTGACGAAGTACAGGCATTTTAAGCTTTTGCCTGCCTGCACGGGGCTCCCACCCCCTGCAAGTGCCTCTGCCCCCTGCAGACACTGGAATGCAGGGCTAGAGCAACCTCACTTAAGAGGCTGCATTTCCAGAGAAAAGGATAACAAAGCTGAACAAATAGAGAGGGATATCAGCGCGGATATCAGGAAAATTGGGGTACTTATGGTGCAGAGAGACTGAGAGAGGCATTCTTTACGTCATCAAATACGGACACTGCCTCCCTCCAGCCATTATCCCAGCCCTCTACAGCCCCAGCTTAGACCAAGGCACAGGCCCGCCCACTGAGGCCAAGGCCCTCCCAAGGCCCAGACACTCCCACTGAGGCCAAGGCCTAAATCACATACCTGCCGCAGCCAAGGTCCAGGGCCTCCAAGGCCCAACCCGCCAGGAAGCCAAGTTCCTGAGGCCCAGTGCCCCTAAGACACAACCCGCCCGCCTGAGGCCCAAACGACCCGCCCGAGGCCCGACCCTCCTGCAGCCCGGTCGCTGATGTCTAGGACCCCAGAAGCCCAAACCACCTGCCTGAGGCCCAAACCACCCGCTCGAGGCCCGACCCTCCAGCAGCCCGGTCGCTGACGTCCAGGACCCCAGAGGCTCAAACTGCCGGCCCTAGGCTCAACCCGCCCGCCCGAGGCCCAAACAGCCTGCTGCGGAGGCCCAGGCCCAACTGAGGCTCAAAAAAGTTACTCTGAGTTAAGCAATAAGAAGCGTGAAAAGGGAAGACCACATCCTGATCACATCTTCCTGGAGGTAATCAGAAAACATAAAAAATTACCAAAACACAAACTTAATTAATTATTAGGGCCACAGATAAACATTAAACATGCCCAAGAAGCAAAAACAGATGACCATATTGGCACATGTCCAGAAAAAAGA